AATTCCCAACAACCATATAGTGGCTCACAACCATCTGTAGTAAGATCTGGTACCCTCTTCTGGCATGTGGGCATACATGCAGACAGAATACTATGTTCTTAATAAATGAATAAATCTTTAAAAAAAAGAGTGTAATTATAAACTGTCCTAATGCACACAAATTAATGACATTGATTGAGAACAACAGAAGGCAATATTGAACAAGTTAAGTTTCTTTTATTTAGCAAGTGGGGCTTATTTTCACTACAAAAGAGTAGGAAGTATTAAAACCATGTGTGAATTTTGAGTAGTCATTGTGAGCCTGAGTCTGTGACACCTCTAGAAGTCACATAGAGTAGCAGTTCTTACCTGGAAAGTGCTAGTTCAGCATGTCATACTAAAGTTGCTCTGCTTATGTAAGGCCTGGGTTATCTAAAATCAAGCTTCCTGTTATATTTTTCTGGCTATATTTGGTGGTTTTTTTTTTTAGAAAGAACACATATAATCTCAGTGACCATAGTCATTGCGTTCTCAGATTACACTCAATATCACAACATCTGTTTCAGAAATGTCTTATTGTTCATTACAGTAAGTCTTGGAACCAAGATCAAAAATTAAAAACTGATAAAAGAGTAAAGCTTCCCTAATAATTTTAATCAACAGCTAATTTTACTTAGAAAAGAACATTTTAAGAGAGTGTCTATAGTAAGCAGACAACATCTAGGGTTAACAGATAAAGATATTTTAAGCTTATATGTCCCATAACTCCACAAGTTATACAATTAAGAAGCAAGGGGTAGCTTATTAAAGTTATAAATAGAAGCTAGGCTTCCCTTCAACAAAGCAGCATGACATAAATTATAATTCCCCTGGAAACCTTTTTCCACTCCTCCATCAAGTTTCTAAGGGATGTGCCTAGTGGGTCATAGATGTAACGAACTCACCAGCGCATCTGCAAACACCAGCCCTTGTCTGGTGCCAAGTGGTCCGAAAAGAGACCCATAGAGTAGTGGGTGGCGCAATGATGCGGATTGACTTCTTCCAAGTAGTACAGATAAGAAATGACTGCCTAGATTCTTTATATTATATGGGAAAAGAGCACTTTTATATATTCATGTTCCCTCTATCCTTGAACTCTTGGTTTTCAAGTCAAGGCTTCTGAGTCGCAACAACGCAGCTCCCCTAAGAAAGCCACACGAAGCAGTTTCTTTCATCCATGCCCAGATTTCCTTCCACATCTCAAGTGTATGAAGGGAGAGGAAAATCCTCCCTCCATACCGCTGCCAGCCTGAGCCTGTACCTTGTGTTCATTTGCAGAGAACGACTCTAGACCCATCTAGACTAGTTCATGCTTGGAAGGTGCTGTTTCAGGATGTCACTCTGGGGATACTTTCAAGCCCCGGAGAGTTTATTCTCTGTGCTGCATCGGCAGCTCTAACATGGAACCATGTTATTCATCTGTGACCATGGTACGATCCCACAAGTGAACATACTCCTCACAGTTAACATATTGTTTTAATACTTTCTGCTCTTCTGTAGTGAAAATAAAAGAAATCTGTTTCACTTACAGTCTTGGACTAGTCTAACTGCCTGTGGGAAGATGTGTGCCACTGGGCACATGGCTCACGCTTGTAATCCCAGCAGCTGGGGAGGCAGAGGCAGAAGAATTGTCATGAATTTGAGGCCAATGTGGGTTGCATAACGAGTTTCAGGACAATCTGCATTACAGTATGAGATCATGTCTCAAGAAGCAAATACCAGACAGAGAGAAAAGAAAGTGTGTGTGTGTGTGTGTGTGTGTGTGTGTGTGTGTGTGTGTGTGTGTGTGTGTGGTATACGATAGAGTATTTTAACGTGAGTTTTGCATAGCTGGGAAACAGACTTTAAAGTGGCACTGGATGCCTGGCGACGTGGCTTTGCTTATTGGCAATGACACTGATTGTTTAAATCTTTGGAAAACAATTTGAGCATTAACAAGATCTCATTAAAAGAACAAATCTATGGAAAGGCTAATGAAGGAACTACTTTATTGAAGTAAAGCTGATGCTGCAGACATACATCTTCAATTCGGGGCCAAGAACATGTTGAGCCAATGAAGGCTCCCTGGGGTGGTGCTGAAGACGCCAGGAGTGGATGGCAGGTCTGAGCTTGAGTTCTGCCACCTCTTGTCCTGACGTTGGTGTTTCCAAAGAACCTCTCTGAACTTCCCTGATCTCGAAAGTGTTGGATAATGTGATTTCTATTTTGTTGAGGATCGATGTGAAATAATACACAGTCATAGTGTCCATTAGAGAATATTTCCCAGTGGGCATTATGATGCAGAAGAACCTTGAGTTGGAAAATGAAAACGTAAGGTTGTCATTTTTCATCATGATGGGTGAGGTCAGGAATGACTGCCGATCGACATTTGTTTCTCCTGTACAGGGCTGTGATGCACATTTTTCTAACCCGGAGAGTAAGTTCTTATAAGCTCTAGCTGCATTTTGTTAAAGATCATTCTGATTGGAGTTTAACAAACACGTGGCAGCTCCCAAACAACCAACAATCTCAATTATTTCTTAGAAACATCTTTACAAAACTAACCTGAGAGAAGAAAGTGAATACATTTGTCCAAGGCCAAAGACAGTCAAGAAAAAGAGATACGCGGTGGCTAGGGTTCTTGGGGATGCCGTATGGCCATGGGAAAACTGTTAAAATTTCTGTCTTCCTGCTGTTCCTAAGAGAAACACAATGCATGTTATGTTTTGCTGTAGGCCCCTCTGGCAAGTGGAGTCTATATTTTCTAAGATGACAAACAGAGGTAATCCTTTTGAAATGAAGCTTTAGGTAAACAAAAGCTATGGATTACTTAAGGTTTTCATTGCTTTAAAATGACAAAAGTGGACATTTACAATTTTTTCCAAACTATCGCCTGTAACATTTCACGCGACACCAAAGCAGTTTTAAATGACAAGTTAGCATGAAGAGAAAAGGGGAAGGGACATTTATGAGAAGATGGGATCACAGGAAGGGAGAGGAGACCTGAGTGATGTGGTGGGATTTCTGCTTTTTTTTTTTTTTTTTTTTTTTTTTGGTGCTCAGATCTCTACCTCTGAAACATGTAGGTACAGCTGGACAGTCTTGTTCAGTTCTGAAATTCTGTGATCGTGAGAGTCTTCATTCACTGTGACACAGGAAGTGTCTCACTCACGGGGAACTGTTCTTATCAGTGCAGCTCACTGGACACTTTATAAAGTATGTAAGTGTCACTCACAATCCTGGTTTGTGTTATATGTGGCATTTATTAGTTTTATAACCAATTCATAATGATTGTGCATTACAATTTCTGGGTACCATATTCTGTGTTGATGCACACATCATGTAATAACAAAATGATGACAATGAACACATTTATCACCTTAGGCATTTATCATGTATTTCTATTGAGAGTATTTAAACTATTTCTTATACCTATTTTATAATATGTAATTTATTATTGATGGTATTCATCTTACTTTGCTACTGGCCACCAGCAATTGCATTACTAAAGCTATATCCAAGGAAAAGCCACCAGCATGCTGAAGAGATAGCTCCATTCTTGAATGCAATGCTGACCAAAATATGGATTTAACTTATGTATCCATTCATGGATGGATTGATGGATGAATGGATGGATGGAAAGAAAATAGCATATATTTTCAACAGAATACCTTCAGTTATGAGAAGAATGAAGTTCTATCATTTGAAGCAAGATGGAGGAAACTGAAGACATTGTGTTGAAAGCTCAAGGCCAGGTATGGAAAGACTAATCCCACATGTTCATCTTGATATGTGGAAGATTATAAAAAGTCAATATCATATAACTAGAGGTTATAAAAACTGAGAAGAACGTGGAAGAGTTAGGGATGGAGAGAGGATGTTGTTAAGTACAGGAATGTACTTAAATAGAAGGATATCATTTAATGTCCTTTATTACAGTAATTTGGCTTTAGTTAACAATTATTTGCATATTTCAAAATAAATAAAGGGAGATTTTGAATGGTCCTATGACAAAAGAAAGAATAAATGCTTAAAGTGCTTGCCCCAGTATTATCATGATAGCATTGTATGTAGGTATTGAGATATTACATCATAGATCATTATTTTTTTTTGTTTTTTCGAGACAGGGTTTCTCTGTGGCTTTGGAGCCTGTCCTGGAACTAGCTCTGTAGACCAGGCTGGTCTCGAACTCACAGAGATCCGCCTGCCTCTGCCTCCCGAGTGCTGGGATTAAAGGCGTGCGCCACCATCACCCGACACATCATAGATCATTAATACAGTTATTGTATGCCAGTCAAAATAAAATTTAAAAGTAATGCAGATTTCAGAGTAGGATGAAGTTGTGTTTGAATGATATTTTTGTTTTTTTTTTTGTTTTTGTTTTTTCCTTTTTTTTTCTTTTTCCTTCTTTTAAATATAAGGCAACTTGCCAACACATAATTTAAAAGCTGAGCTTCGGTCACATTGCTTCAGATCACTACAGAATTTCTGGCTAAGGAACAGTGAGAATGAACCCAAGGCCTTCAGCTCACATTCCCCAAAGACAAGGGCTTGTTGTTATTTTTAAAGCCCACTGTGCAACAGAAGACAGGTGCAAAACTTTTACAACAAAACAAGCTAAAGTTACAGAGAAGTGGTGAATTTCTAGACAGCTAATTGTCACTTGGGAATGAGACACACTGGTCCTGGAACAGGTGGGAGCTGCTCTAAGAACGGGCAAGGGGCAAGAGGGGCTGTTTCCAATGTAAGCCCCTCTGCAGCGCTCAGAACCATGCTCATTTGGTAGAGGAAGAATTCAACGAGCTTAAGGCTTTGTGTTTTTTTGTTCTTCATTAAACTGAAGGGCTGCAAAATGTAAGGGTGGGTGTACCTGTGGGGCCACGCATACAAAATGCTCCTCAAACCACATTCATACAGAAACATGACATTTAAAACTTACAGTGTGGACCATAATTCTTAGCCAGTGTAGAGAACCACATGCAGTTTAACTTCTTTTTTAAATATATTTTTTTTTGGTGATTTTAATTCCAAACTCTAATGTGATCATCCTTTACCTATATCTAATTCTTCAAGTAAGGTAGTTTTTGTTTTGCTTTTTTTTTCCCTTAAGGGGGAAGGGAGGCAGGGATGAGGACAGTAGTTGAGTTTGGAGAGAGCGACAGGTCACAGGTCGTCTTGGGAATGCCAGGTGGCCACTGCATTTCTCTGGAAAGGAAGTCAAAAATTAAGATGCCAACGCCAAGGTTTTCTGAGTCTCAAGGCTTCAGCAAGGCCAAGTACAGTGACTTGGGAGCAGCGTAAATGCAGAACCAAGCCTCGAGGAATGGGAGCAGCTGGGGAAGATGGAAGCTGGGTGTATTTTCATTTGACATCTTTATGGGAGTAAATAATTAGATTCCAGAGCACTCAGAATGTCTGGCTTCTTAGTCCTAGACAGAGAAGCCTAACTTAAGGCTCTAGGCCACTTTCCTCAGCCATACCTCATTCTCAGCAAAAGATGGCAAGAGCAACAAGTGGTCAAGGTGGAGACTGATTGACAGGCAGGTGCTGAGACAGAGTTAGCTTCTAAAGAAAACCAGGAGTAGTAGCTCGTGGGAGGAGAAAGGACCTTCTTCTGCCCCCAAAGGGACCCTGCCAAGTTCCCTTCCTTAGATACCTAAGGATGATCACACTGGAGCAGTGAAACTTTGAAACTATCCAGTTACTTCAAAGTAAGACTAAGCCTAGAAGGGTGCTGTATGGCGTGTTGCCTGAGGAGGGATCACGGCTCCCTATCTATACCCTGGGTGCTGAATATGAAGACTTCGACTATCTGTGGGATCGGGGGCTCGGGTGCCATGGGCTCGGTGGGCCTTGCTCAACATGGCCAGGCTCTGTTCTCGGAAGCAGGCCTGCTGTAAATCCCCACTCAGGTAATCCACCGTTTGCATCAAGCTGTTCTGGCTTGCCACTGGCCCACCCCCAGTTCCCGCTCGGTAGTGGGCCCCAGGAGCTGCTGCACAGTCGAGGGGTGCACCTGTGGGCTGCCCAGCATGGAACGGCATGGCGAGGTCCTGAGACCCCGAGCTGTCGCTATTGGGAGTTGGTAGGATGTTGTTCCACAGGGGTTGGAAGTAGTGACCATTGGGATAGGCCAGTGGGGCCGGTAGGCCGTTGACAGGTGGGGATGGGGTCGGCTTCTCCAGGGAAGGCTTCAGATGGAAGGACTGCGCCAGGCAGAGCTCCTGCGGGTAGGCAGGGGCCTTGCCCACAAAACCTGGCCCTGCCAACTCGCGTCCTGCTGTATGTTTGCCTGTCAGGCCAGGGGCTGGTGTCCCACCAGCCTCGCTGCACATTTGCTGTAGATGGGCCAGCTGGTGCTGGTTCCAGGTAACTGGCTTGAGGTCGCTAGTGTAGCCAGTAGGGGCTCGAGAGATGCCTGTGGGCAGGTTGACAGGACCTGCAGCAGGCAGCGCGGCTGTGGCCGCGTGGGTGTGCTCCATGGGATTGACCACACATGAAGGCATTGGTGTGGGGACGCTGTGGGTCGACACCCGGGTGCTTGCATTGATGAGCAGACTGCGACTAATGGGGCTGGGGTTGGCGATCTGGCCCTCACACACTGAGGTAGTGCTGATGCCTGCCCTCGTCTGGCAAAACTGGTTGATCTGGTGCACGATGCTGCTCAGGTCCGGGGGCTGGCTGTGTTGCAGGGTGGCCGCCATTGAAAGGGGGATAGTTGAGGTAGACATGGTCACATTTGGGGGTGCATCTGAGTCTGGCATCTTCCGGTCTCCATGCAGCAAGGGATTAGGGGGATGCTGGAGACCCTGGTGAGTCAGGGCCTGCGGGTGGACCAAGCCCTGGGTTTGGGCTATTGGCTGAGGGTGGCCCAGGCCCTGAGGCTGCTGGAGGCTCTGAGGGTGAGACAGTGCCTGTGGTGGTGGTATACCCTGAGGGTGTTGCAGTGTCTGGGGAGGGGCATGGGCCAGGGTCTGTGCATGCTGCAGGGCCTGCTGGCGGGCCAGAGCCTGGGCCTGGGGGTGGGCTAAAGTGCTGGGTGCCACAGTAGCATAGGGTGCCACTGGGGGGTTCATGATGGCCTCAGGGAGGAACCGGGCTCGGGTGCCGTCAAAGTCCTTGAGTATGCTTTTGGCTGGCACTTTGACAATGGCAAGCAGGCCTGCCTTGGTGGCAGCCTGAGTCGGGTAGGGGCTGTAGCGCTGGGCTGATGTGTCGAGGCCGTTCACAGTACAACGAACATGTTTCCGCTGAGGAACCTTCACACTTGCGCCCTGGGCAGGAGGAGAGGTTGGCTCTGCAGCGCTCAGTGGGGCTCCGGGCTCCGCCCCACCGGCCTGGGACAGTGCAGCCCTGCTCGCCTTGGTCCAGGAAGGACAGAAGAGAGGTGGCTTCTAGCGGCTCTGGCAGGGGGAGGGGGAGACGGCTACTCCAGGTGCCAGGCTCACCGAGAGCGCTGCACTCCGCGGTGCGCCGACACCCCCTCCCCCAGCCGGCTCCGGCTCGCTCCCCTCCCTGAATGATATTTTTGATTAGGCTTCTTTATGTTTTCTTGTGTACTTGATAGTTCAGAAAATAATTGTGTACATATTAGAAGTATTGAAATAATGAAAGGATTATTTTTGTAAAAACAAGGCATTAGTATTACTGATGGGCTTCAGGAAAGAGTCCATGCTCTGTGGCCAGATAACCTCAGACTGACCTACAGCCCTTCCTTGCTATCTACCCAGACCAATTCAAGCATTACATCAGGCAATGATAATACTTACCTCCTAGGACTGCTATGAGGATTATATGGGTCCAGATATGAAATATTCCTACAAAATAGTCTGGTTGGGCATGATGGCTTATGTCTGTAATCTGGACCCTGAACACGGAGGCAGGAAGGTCAAGAGTTCAAGGTCATCCCCAGCTATGTAGATTTTTCAAGGCATAAAACAAAAAAGAATAGAAATCAAAAGGGAAACCACCTGGAATATGTATGCCCTCTGTGTGTTTATCATCAACATCCTCATCTTCACACCCACAAAGCTTAGGATGAATTTGGCACATCATCCTTAAGTTTTTTTTTTTTTTGACTGGCATATTTAAGAACAGCTACTGGCTCATCTTACATGCACCATAACAGCATCAGGGAATAGGATGCAGGTTCTGTATACATTGACTAGGGATCCTCACCACTAGTGGAGAGCTTACTAACAGTAATATTTGCGGGTAGAGGCAGGGACAGTTTTCCTTAAAGGTGCTGTCTGGTGGGTCATCCATGCTTTAGGGTACGTCTCCACAGCCTTGTGTATATAGATAGGCTGCACCAACTGGACTAAGTAGGTTATCCAAAAAGGACATGAAGTTGAGGGGTGTTGAGGATGAGGGTGAGGGCAGGCTATGGATGTGGACAAGTGAGGGGGAGGAGTGGGGATGAATATGATCAAGACACGTTGTACACATGTATGCAATTCTCAAAGACTTAATAAAATACTACATTAGAAAAGACAAGAGAGACAGATTAGGATAACATTTCCAATTAGCTCAAAGAAATTCTAAGTTATGATAGAGGCAATATATAAGAGCAAAGTCAAGTAAATGAATAAACCTAAAAATCCCTGTAGGAATCAAAGTAGACAATCAAAAACAAAGAAATGAAATGGTGCATACATACCCGTACAAACATGTACAAACACATGAAAATATTTAAAAAAATCATATAAAATGAACTATAAAGAAATGATGGATATGGAAATAAGAAAGAGAATACAAAAGCCTATAATTATATGAGTGAATTTAACTTTGGTCTGTATTTATTGTATGAGAGGAGAATCTATTTTCAATTAACAAAAGGAGAGAGGAAGAAAATAGAAGAGAAGCAAATTTCCAAACTAAATGTTTAACTCGGGTTTTAAGGGCAGTGTATCATGACAAGGTTGATAAACTTTAATGATAATGACAAATCAATGTTTATGTCCTAGCGTGAATACCACCTCACATGTCGGGGGAGGATGAGAGTAATCTCCTAAAGGTTCATTAAATGGCAGAGCCTACAGCATGATCTAAAACTTCTGAGGACAGTTATCTATAACCCATAGTTATGTAGTCACCTAAGTGTGTCTTTACTTGTAAATCCAAATGTGTGTTCTTAAGCTGCTAATTCAAGTGAACTAGGATAAAACCTCATTAAAGGGAACTTTCAAAGAAAGGGAACAAGTAGCCACAATCAGGGAATCAAAGTCTTGCAGAGTACTTGTGCAGGGAGTCAGTCTCTGCCCCTCCATGCCCTATTCAACCTCTGGATTCTCCCAGAGCGTAGGCTGGCTTCAAACTCTATCCTCCTGTCTCACAAGTGCTGGGGCTTCAGGGAAGAGCCTCCATACTTGACTGTTTTTCTTTTTAGAATCCTTAGATGGGTATAGAGCTTTGGATTACCTTTTCATCTCCTCAGAAAATGTAGTCACCATCTTAGTAGGACTATGATGTTTGATGAGTCTTTGTGAGGGTTGATGTCACCCCCGCACAGTGTGTGAGTTGACATGACATTGACTTGTTAACATCATAATTTATTAAACCTGCCATGGTATACAATGTCCTTAAAACCAGATGTCAGCTTTGATTTCAGGAATTCATTTTTCTTGTGCTTTTCATTTAGGCATTATGTCTATATTTTTATCTGTTCTCGTTCTTTTCCTTCAACTTCTATCATTTTCATATTTTAGTGCCTCAGTTTTTCTTTTGAATCCTTCACGAGGAAATATGCCTGAGCTGAGAGGCAGCAGGTAAAAATGTGCGTGCTGCCTTTCAGAACCTGAGATACAAACAATCCTGTCTTGTAGTAACCTGCCACAAAAAAAAAAAAAAAAAAAAAAAAAAAAGCTGTCAGATAACTGCGGTCACCTGCCAGCTTGATCCACGTGAGAAGAAATGCCCAGCTGACCAACAGAAACCCTAGAAAATATTTTCCTATACTTTTAAGAAAAGTTTCATCCAAACCCAAACGGGAAAGTCCCTCTGCTGTTTCATAATGAAATATGGCAAAGCTGCAATAATATCCAGTCTTCCAAAAGGTGAATCGAGACACGGGATTCGAGAGGGAATCCAGCTGAAAACATGCAGAGACGTCTTTAGCCACTTTAAATTCAGAGCTCCAGATGAAGAGCATAGCAGTTATTGAGTAAAAGAGAGACGGCGCATGCAATGATAGCAGTGCCGTAACCAAGAGGATCCGGTGGGAGGAGAGAAGAAAGCCCTCGACAGCGTCCCTTCCTCTGATGTTGTAGCAACGTTCGCATCTTTTCTACCTAAAGAACTCGGGAGTTTTAAACATTTCCAAACAAGTACCAAGATGCATGCCTGTGCCAGTGAGGCTGGGTAGGAGGGTCACTTGAATTTAAGAGTTCAAGTCCAGCTTGGGCAACATAGCCTTTACCTCAAAAGGAAACAAATAAAAAAAAAAAAAGAAATTTTGATCTCAGTTTCGTAACTGTGTTAACTTCATTTAAATTTCTAGAATTTAGCGCATTCAAACACGGCTAGGTTCAGTATAGTAAATATATTTAATACAACAGGCAGCACAGGGCCACATCCATGGTGCGGCGTTTCAGTAACGATTCACCTCTTGGCTGTTCTTTCTTCCCATTCTTCTATGTTTATTTGAATGAAAATATCTCAACTCGTGTACACTTTAGGGAAAATTGATGCTATTTTTTATAATCTCTGAATAACTTATAAACTTTTGAATTGAATATCTATTAAAACAATTCAAATTCCTAGTTTTTGCAAATCCAGTACCAAGGAAAACCCCTACCCGACTTCCCTGTAACAAAGGATAATTTCTAAGTGATGAGGGATGGCAGTGGAACTCTAAAGAATTGCCATATTTTTTACAAGGAACCATTGCTGTGATTTTAAGCACAGGCCTTTGATTCAAGTTTTCTCTCCCACTGCATAGACCTTCAGGAGTTTGGACTGTGAGTTTAACTCATTAAAGTGTCAGCAGGTTTTACACTGTGTCAAGTGTGAAGGTCTTGCTTGTTAAATGTTTTAGTTTATGTTGGAGCTAGGACTAACAATAGGTTAGTCAAAGAGAAGAAACAACCAAGAAATTGAAGTTAGTCACTGTAATCTCAACTCTAAAATGGGGGGAATAGAAAATTCCGAGTCTTCTGTTCTAAGTTCAGGTCTGGGTTGAACATGGAAAACGCGCCCTGAGGGAATTGTGGGTGCTGCCTGGTTTAGGAGCCACATAGGCCAAATGAACAGCAATGTGATCTCACAGCAAGAAAGCAGTAAGCAAATGAGTTTGCAGATGATATACCTGAAGAAATAAAGCTACAATAGAGTATATGCATAACATCTTAAACCAAACAAACAAATAAACAAACAACTGTTTTTAAAAAGGAGTTCATTTTTTTCTTACTTTTGGAAAGTATGTTATGAAGTCAGTAAGATAGAAAAAGGAGCTGTTAACCACAAAGAACTCTCATACACGTTTGGATTGTATGTTGCTTTACAATTATCAGCCATGGGGAAGCCACAGCCGGGACTCCAGCTCAGGGGTGACACAGATCATACGGCACAGCTCATAAATCTAAAACTGGCCTCTGCCTTTCTCCATGACCTTAGGCCTTTACCTCCCTGACCTTTGTTTCTTTGTGTTCAAGGGATGTTTATATTGAGAGATGACTGTAAGCTGTTCTTAAAGCACCTGCTGGCATGGTTCAGCCAGTAGCAGACAGTGATCGAATAAGGGAAAACACTACATGATTTAGATTAGATGTAGCTGTGACCAGAAGAAATGATGAGCAAAATAAAGTACTGCCTTTTCTTTTTCCCGGTGCCTTCAGAGGTTCATTACTGTCTGAAACCCCACAGGGATGCCTTCCCTACTCTACCGTGTCTCCATCCTTCATTTTTTCTTCTCTGTTCACTCCTTATTTTAGCAGTAACACTTGGTACCCACCCGATTGCCAGAGTTCTCCTCCCACATAGCACCTGTGGCCTTTGGAGAGAAAGACGCAATGAATGGGCAAAGAAATAGCTCATTTAAAATTGAAAAATACTCGGAGGGAAATAAACTCGGGGGTGGAGAGGAACATCTCTTGGAAAGGGTGACTTAAATGGAAGCATATTTAGGTCAAGTATCTTTCATTCTTGAATTGAATTGTGTTACTTCTGAATCAATTAAAAGATTATTAAAGAGCTGGGTGGTGGTGGCTCATGCCTTTCAATCCAGTACTGGGGAGGCAGAGGAAGGCA